ACTTGCAAGGGCTGACCGCGATGTGCAGCAGCTACTAGCGGTAGCTGCGGGTTGCGGCTGACGGGTTGCGGTTGGCGACAGGGGCAAGCGGCGGGCGGTGGCTAGATCTGGGCGTTGGGCTGGTCATGCTTATTCGGGCTTTGACTAGTCAAGGCGGGCTTGGGCCGAGATTGGGTCCGATTTCTATTAAAAAACAGATAGCCAAGCCCACTCACACTATATGTCGGATCCGGACAGGCTCAAGGGCCTTAAAAAGAAAATTCATTTTTTTACGAGAAATATTGGTTGAAATGGAAGCTTAACAATGAACCGATAAATGCAAGATGCATAAAGTCTGCTGTTGTTGACCTTGAAGGTGAATAAAAAAACAACAGGTTTGCTAGAATCCTATTGAGAGGAAATAAAACAATCTCAAATTTTGGTGCATGGTTCTCTTGCTTCTTTGACAAAACAGAAGGAGTTGGATTTGTAAATATATTATGAAGCCTTGAAGATCAAAACCTTGAGATGGGGAAGGAGAAAATCAATCATATTGAACTGGGAGAGCTTTATAGTTTATCATTGATAAATCTGCAAGAGAAGTGAAATCTTGATGACTGAATAGGATAAAGTGGAGATTAGTTGCAAAATTGTTCGGGCCGGGTTGCCATGCTTTGGCTGAGTCAGGCTCGCAAAATTTCTATTTTTTTCACAGCCAAGCCCGCCCATTCTTAGCAGGCTTATGGCTAGCCCGTCAGGCCACCTACCCAACACACAAGTCTAGTGGCGGCGACCGACCGACAGGCGGGTGGTGGGTGCGGGGTGGGCAAACTAAGGGTAGCGATGAATCGACGGCGTACTACGGTGAGCGGTGGGTGACTACCAGCAGCGGGAGGTGGCGGCTTGCGGCGACGACCTGCGTGCTGCGGCGGGCGGTGGAGAGTTGCCTTGGTAATGCTCCAAAAAATATATTTTTAAACCAAAATAAATAAATAAATAAACAACCGCTACTTTTGGGTTTGTTATCTGTTTTTTTATTTTTAAAAATAAAAAACATAAACAAAAAGTGATCTCAAACAGGGCGTAAAATTTAGTTCTTGTTAATTGAACAAAACAAATATAATAAATCCAACATATGAGATATGCTAATTTAACATATGCTAATTTAACGAAACAATTAACGAAACAATCCCCAAACATCTGAAACATGATAATATAACTAACACAATATCAAACTTCTGAAATCAAACTACATAGAGATACTCAATATCAGATAACCAACATGACACCCAACTAGTTTTTCAGAGTCATAATGAGTTAAAGAATAGACTCTTGGTCAAACATTTTGCCTTGGTTGCTCCTTACGAGTCACAATACAAGCTTTTGTCATCCTTTGTTGACCACTTCTAAAAGTAGATCCCTCATGGAAATTGCTCAGAGCTAAATCTCTTCCTAAGTTAGTATTTGACTTGAATATCTGAGCTAGAGTAATTCTACATCTGATGTTCAAGTTGCCTACATAAATAACACTCCTTCAAACCAAATAGACATTTACTGCAATGTTATTTTCCACACTTCAAACAAAGCTCTATATTGTTACTGTCAATCTGACTAATAACTCTGTCAGTGTATAACTTTATTTTCTTCCCATTAGACTTTTTCAAAATTAACTGTTGGTGCCACTTTTTCCAAACGCTTTGACTTTTGTATGTCTTTATGCTTCTGAGTCTGCTGAAAATTAATTTCTACCTATCTATCCCTCTCCACTAACACTGAATAGTCCTCAGTCCCAAGTGTCATCAGTGGCTGCTTGATTAAGTTGTTCAATCCAGAAAGAAAATTGTGACATTTCTCCTCTGCATTTGGAATGAGTTGTTGTACATATCTTGACGATATATTAAACTCTGCTTCGCATTACATAACTGATCAATCTCTCTGCACCAACCTAATAAATTTATTATGCATATTTCTTCTGATTGATAGTGGTATAAGCTAATATCTGAAGGTTCTCACAAACTCTTCCCACTTTACTGAGGGTTAGGTTGACCACCAAATTTCTTCTGTAACTAATCTTGCCTCCATCTCTTTGCTTCCCCCTCAAAAGCAAATTTGGCAAGGGTAACTCTCCTCTCAGGTGGACATACCATACCATTTTTAATTTTCTCCACCCTTGTCAGCCAGTTTTTAGCTTCCTCTGGCTCTCATGTTCCAAAAAATAAAAGTGATTTGATATCCTGAAAGAGCTTCAAGTACTTATCCATTGATCCTCCTCCACTGCCACTAGCTTGAGATTAATAATTCTTAATCAACTGAGTTACAACATTCATCATCAATAAATGCATCATCATTGATTGTGACATCTTAGGGTATATCAAATTCAACATTATCATCCTTGACCTCTTTCTCCCAATCATCCATAATTTTGAAATAATAATTAAATAAAATATTAGACTCGATTAAAATTTTAATTTCTATTATTTATAACTTAAATCAATTATCAGAGTACAACTTTCATAAAAATTCATGTTGTTTAATCTAAACTTTGGCTCTTATACAACTTTTGTTATGATTCAATTCGAGGCTTGGAATTAATCAAGTCGGAAACAAATGGTCTGACAATTGAGTTAAACTTTATATATTTCTAATTCTATCACTAACAATTTAGTGTAATAGAATTAATTGAAGGAACCGTTTAAGGAATGTTTTAGTTAACAAATAAAAGTTCCTCTCGACGCTACAAATGCGCCATAATAGGCGATTAAAAAATTCAACAGTTTAGAGCACAACCTGGAATACCATTATGAGATCAATGTCGAGGGGGTGGCGATGAACGGATTTTGAGGTGCACCTTTTATTCTTTTTTATCTCTCTCTCTCTCTCTCTCTCTCTCTCTCTCTCTCTCTCTCTCTCTCTCTCTCTCTCTCTCTCTCTCTTTTTTGTTATCTGATTTTGGAGGGGAGGTGGCACCAAGGAGAGGTGACAGGAAGGATCGGTTTCGACCTTGGGGATGTCGGCTACAGTGAAGGTCATTGAACTATGGTTCAGAGACTAAGAGAAAGAGGGGATTGGGAGGAGTTGCGGGTTTCTATAGTCAGAGTGTGCTATCAGGTTGGAGGAGCGAGAGCAGAGACGTGAGGTGGTTGTTGTCCGAAGGAAGGTTTCCGGCGAGGTGTTGAGCTGGACAGGGTCGCTAGAGGATGGAGGGTTCACAACGACAGGTGGGTGTAGGAATTAACCAAACCCTAGGTGAGGTGGCGCTCATATTAATGGGGAGTGGGTTACGACTGTGAAAGAAATATGAGTTGGGAAGAGCACACTATGTGGGGTCGCTGGCGTGATGTTATGCGGGCTGTGAGGTGCGACAAGAAGGGGCTGGTTGTGTGGAAACTTACAAGGAGAAGCTTGTCGGCGGGGAGTTTTGGATTGTTGGAGCTAGATGGGTGATTCTGGCGAGAACAACGAGTGATCTGGGGGAGTGACGCTCTGTCTGTGGCCTAGTTGTGAGAGGGAAGCCGGTTGGGCGTATGGGATAGATGTGGAAATCAAACAGAGAGGGGAATATAGAGTATTGTTGTGAGAGAATATTAAGAAAAATATGAACAATTAACCCTTCGACGTGCTCCAGAAAAAAAGCTGATTTAGGTGGGAATATTCTCTTTTGAACCATCTCGACAATCCATACGTGCTCGCTCTGTTTAAAAAAAATGTTACTTCGATAACAAATTTGTGTGGGCAAAAATTCATGCATTGAGACCTTATGCGCATAAAATTATGTAGGTGAGCAAAGCAAATTTGGAGGTTAATAATGAATGACTCTATGATCACATAAAAGTTAACCTCATTCCAAGTTATCTCATGATGACAACAAAAATTCCTATCATCTAAAATGTTATTTAATAATAAAATCAAAATTCTCACAAATGCTGATATTGATGTTGATTGGGCTAAAGGCACATCAAACAAAAGATCCACCCTTGGCTATTATACTCATGTACGGGGAAATTTGGTTGCATGGAGAAGTATGAAGTAATCTGTGATCTTAAGAAATACTGCTGAAGCTAAATATAGGGCAATGTGATTTAGTATTTGTGAAGGAATGTGGTTAAACAATGTTAGAAGAATTGAATTATCATGTGAAAGATCTGTAAAATTCTACTATGATAATTGGACCATCATAAGTTCTACAAAAAATCCACACTTAGGTTTTACCTACAATGAGTTTGTATAATATAATTGATTAGCTGGCGTTATCAACATATGCCTCTCAATTTAAGGGAATATTGAAGTAATGTAAAACTTATGGCCAGTACTTTTCTATCTACAATAACCCAACAATCAACAGACAACAATTTTTTATGTAAATAATCCTGTAATTCATGACCAACTTTCCAGCCGCAACAATCAGTGGACAACATTTTTTTTTACCTATAGCAATTCATGGACGGTGACATTCCATTTATTATGTATGGTTAATTTTGATTTTAGAATTAAAATAGATTTCCAATTTAATTCTTTCCTTGATTGTTGTTTCTTTTCTGATTTATAAGTCACTTATCATCCTTAAAAAAAAAAACGAAGTAATGATATTCAGTCATAAAGCTTTTCATTTTATACAATTTGCTTATGTCATCTAATTTTAAAGAACGCATAAAGCTGACACTAAATAGCTAGGATAAAGCTTATGATGTTGATGAAGATGCTCTTGTTTGTCAAGTTTGGTTGCAGACTATGTTAAAATGGTAAATGGTGGTCGCTTGAATAATTATAAACCATTAACCCGATTTCTTCCGTCATAAACCACAAAGTATATTTCACCAGTTCTTTTGTTATGATACTACTTCTAGATATGAAAAACATCCAGCATAACTTGTGTTCTTAATGGAGTTGGGAATGAAATAAGTGAATATGAGGGACAGTTTTACCTTTTTCTGATGTTGCTAATTCTACAAAAACAACAATCTGGAGCTAAATGCAAAAGCATTCTTCTTACACATTTTGAAGTCCGGTATATGCTTTTGTAGCCATTTTAATGTCAATCTGGTCGAGTTGGAGAATGTTGTCGTTAAAGAAGAGGATCATGCCGTGTTACTTGAAGGAGGCCTTCCTAAGTGTGCACCTTCAACTTTTCAGAGTGCTTCTGTGCGTACAAATTTAATCAGGTTGATTAAAAGAAATAGTTGACATTATGTTATTTTCTTAGAAGAAACACTTAAACTTTAACCATGGATGTTTTGGGTCCCCATGGCGAGAAGTTTAACAGCTTCTGGTGCCCTCATCTGTTACAGGTTTGCAAGCATGGATGAATCTTTCTTGCTTGAGAATAGAGCTCTATTTAGAGCCATGTAAGGTTCTCTGGCATTGAATTTTTCAATACCTCTTGATGTAATGACCAATTATCTCTAGGTTAACTTCTAGCTTTCTTGCAGGTCAAAATTTGGGATCATTTTGCTCTACTTTTACTTATGTGATCGGACTAACTTGTTTTCAGAAACCAAAAAGGTGTTTGTTTCTTCACATTGGAGTTAACAGAACTTTAGTGAAGATAATTGCAGTAATAATTTTCGCTTTTACCTACAATTTTGTTTGTAATATGCCGATCTTTACAAGTTACAGAGGTTGAATGCTTATAGGTATAGCATGCTGTTCTCGGTTATTTTGGTTTATGAAATTTTAATTCTGCTTAGTTTGTTTTGCTATTAAATTTTACGAAGGATTAGAAAATTATTGTATACAACATGCACTTGAAGGTTTATCTATATATTAGAGTATGAATATTCTTTGCACAAACTTTGAATTGCAATGAGGAGCATCTTTTTTTTTACATTAATTTTACTGTATTGTGCTTAATTTGCTCCAACTTTTTGAATCAAATGTCTTCCTTTGTTCATGCTTTGTTATGAATTTATATTTCCATTTTCGCATTAAAATCATGTAGCATTTTTTATTTAATTGTATAACTTGTTTTTGATATTCCTATTACCTAAAGTTTTGCTTTACCACGACCTGCTTAAACAGCCAGAATTAGCGTCCAACAAATTAGAAGATGTGGACAATATATCATCAATCAACTGGAGTTTCTCCTGTCTCATAGAGGAAATCTAATTCATTTTTCATTTGTTTCATTTATTTTCTCCAAAACACTTTGTTGTTGTGATAAATTGTAACTTTTATCATGATTATCTAACTATTCCTTGTAGCAACAATATTAAACGTTTGATGCGCTTTTTAAAAGATGTTATACATGAATTGGAAAATCTTAACGATTGTTAAAATATCTGTAAAATAATGGGTATACCCCTGCTTTTGATTTTGCCAGAGTTACAGCCGAGATTTGTTTCTCTTTCTATATCTTCTTCTTGTCCTAGCATCAGCCATGACCTCTCTAAAGAAGCACAATGACAAGTCAGCTTTCTCGGGAAAATCCATTCTTTACTTGAATCGTCATCAAACTGAGGAGTGGAAGGGATGGATGCAGGTTGGTAATTTCTCTATTTGGCACTATGCTATGTTTCTTATCTGCTCCTATATATCATTTGACTTGATTTCCTTATTTAATTGTTCTTACATCACATATATATTGGCTAACTCTTGCATCTACCGGTTATCTCTACTTGTTTCTTATGCTAGTTTCTTAGTGATGATGTAATAATTTAGCAAGCGGCCAACTTTGATTCATTGTTTGGGGATGGAGCTCCTTATTCTTTTCATTCTTATGAACAGAAGCATGTAAATTTGGAATTGTTTAAGGTCTTAAGAACAATTTAATTCCTTCCATCTCTCACTTCCATGGTTGTTTGCACTATAATTGGTATAAGTTTTTTGGTGGCATATAAATGATTTTTTCCTATGTATACCGTAGCAATTGAGCCGTGTAGTTTTATAAGATGTAGAGTTGCCATGTAATCAAATTAATGATGTTTTCAAGATTGGAGAAAATTTTTTTCGATAGTACTATCTTGAAGTCAGTGTTCTATTTATTGAAGTTCGATGCGTTTTATTGTGGAAAATATAGCACCTCTGCATGTTATATCATCTTTTAAAGAACCATGGATACTTATTATGACTTAGGTTTCCGTGATAAGTAGGCTCTAGGTAAGCTTTTTATTCTGTAAGTTGTATGGAGCTCATTTAAGTCTCTAATACCTGAACCATTAACAACTCTAGCTGGAATTTTTTATAGTTTTCTTCCTATGAGCAGAATCAAATGTCCATAGAAATTAATTAGTCAAGCAACTGATTGCTATCTAATTCTGATTATCAAGTTGATGACAATGAAAAAATCCTACCCAGTTCGGATAAAATGAATGATGAGACTTTGTTTGGCTATGTTGTTGTGCTGCATTATTTATTATGATCTTCAGATTCTTTTCCATGTTGATTTTTAGCCATGTGTCAATTTGTTGAATTTTATGCATATTTTAATTATATTGTTAAATGTATGTTACTAAGACATTATGTATTTTCATGTTTGTTTAGGTTATTTTTAACATGAGGGCTGTAGGAAGTCAAATAAGAATGCTTGAATACAGTTGAATTCTTTTTTAATTCTTTATTCTTGTCACGATTGATTCTGATTTTCTGCTCTTTTAGGTTTCTCTCCTTAAACCTGACTCACGCGCCAATCTGCATCGCATGGTTTCAAAGTTGAACTACTCCTTTTATTCAATTAATTTACTCTGGGAATAAACTCACACCATTGGTTTTTGGAAATGCCTGAGACCTGCTCGATGTCTGTTCTCTCTGGGCATTCGTCATTTGTCATCCACATGCAGCACACCACATAACCCCTTCTTTATTTGCTGTTTCACTCTTATAGTTTGTTATATCTATTAGTGCTTTGTTCCTCCCTTTTGTGGCAATCTAATTATCATTTTCATTCCATATTTATCGCAATTTTTTTAAATTGTTTAAAGTATTAGCTCATCTTTATCTTAATTTTTTTATTAACGCAAACATTGGTTCATATTACCATATTGTAATCATGATCAACATTACAAATCATATTAATGTGAATGTTGCGCTTGCTTCATGATAATTATGATCTTTACTCTAATGATATGCACCAAAAATCACGCCCTTCAAATTTCTATAATGATTTTTATGTTGATAATTATCATACCACGAAGTTTCATTCTTCCCACTTTTCATGATTCAATTTTTTTGAGCATTGGACAAACAAATCAACTTCATATGATTTTGCTGGATCATCTCATGGCTGTCCTGGGTACTCTTGTTTGCTATATCATAGTTTTCAATGATCTTATCATGATGGTCATGCACACTCTAATCATTGATATGACATTCATTATAAATCAATCAAATTTTTTTTTATTGATATTTTTGTAAATCTCATTAAGCATCCAATCAAACTTATGACTCATTGATACAGATTGTCTTAGAATATAAGGTTCACTCAAATTAGAATGTAAAATATCACATTTCGTAAAATCTGAAAAGCTGTTCCCTCCAAATAATAATTTAGAAGGTACCAAATTTAAAATTTTTCAAGAATTCTAAGAAAATTAAATCAGTTTATTGGAATTTAGAATTTACGCCATAAAACATAATCCGACACATAATGAAATTCATCTAATCTCAATTACATATAAAAACCAATCATGAAATGTTTAGACAAAATGAATTAGAAATCACCAAAGTGAAGATCTAGGTTTCTCGTCAATATAAGAAGCATCATCCAGAAGTGGTCGTTAAGACTTACACCTCATTTCAAGAATTTGAATCTAACCAACGCACCTAGGTTTGAGACGACAACGATGAGAACAACAACAACAATTTACTACTACAACAAGCCTTTATCCCATTATTTGGGGTGGGCAACATGAATTCTTTTTCTCTTTTGTGTTTTATTGACTCTATTATTTTCATTTAATTCTAATGAATTAAGTTCATTTTTTATACAATGTCCAAGTCTTTTTTGGTCTATCTTTGCCTTTCTTAATATAAGTTTAAAACATTTACTCTCCTAAATGGTTCTTCAAATGATTGATGTTTAATGTGATCAAATAATCTTAAGATGACTCTAATCCCACGAGAGCTATTCCAACCTTTTCACGGATGTATTCGTTTTGTGTTTTGTCTCTAGGTGTAAAGCTACTTATCCACTTGAGCATTCGCATCTCAGTAACCCTTAACTTAATTTTTCAAACCAACATTTTGCTCCATAAAATATTGCAGGTGATTTCAGAGTAAGTCGAAGGACAATCAAAGACGATTATTATTGTTGAAATTTAGAAAGAAGCACAACAAGAGTTCATAAAACTAGAAATAAAATAACACGGGTACAAACGAGACCTTAAAGCGAGGGCGAAGGTGATGAGAGACTGTGGCAGTTAGTAGGTGGAGGGTAGGAAGGATGCAGCAGCATCCAGCTGCTGGAAAAGTTTGACGATAGTGGAGGAGGGTGTAGAGGAGGTTGACAGTAGTGAGACTAGGATACAATCGAAGCACCACCTGTCATCTGATATGTTGCCCTAATAAGGGAGAAGACACCTGGCCATTGGAACCCTGAAATCAGAAAGAGAAAACTAAACCCGAAAACACACAAACGACATATATATAGTGCTAAAATAAAATAACAGAGTGAGCAAATGGAGCGTTAGTTCCTGTCCCTTGAAATAGCTGATTGGTCCAGCCTCCTGTCGGACTGAGACCCTTGCTGAATTGGTTGGGCCGATTCAGCCATACGAAGCCTCGCGACAGTCTCCCGTGATTTGGGGAGCTTTGACTTCATTCATTGAAGTCTCTGGGAAGTCTTTGTAATACGGTGTTAGGTTTGTAATATTGAATGTGGAGGAAATATTGTAGTCCCCTCGCAGGTCAATCTTGTAGGCATTATCATTGAACTTCTGAAGTATTTTAAGTGGATCTTTTGCTCTGGGCTTGAGTTCTCTGAATGCTCATACTGGGATCTCTCTTTCTTCAACTGGATCCACACTGGATCTTCCTTAAATGTCACATTTTTCCTTGTTTTGTGTGTCTTTGCTTGGTATTTGTGATTCTGCTTAATGATCTCTTTTTCAACTTTCTTGTGGAGCTTCTGATTCTCGTGCACCCGTTCCTCAGCATCCTCACTAATCTCCGACATTTGCAATATCGGTACTTATTTGAGTGAGGTGAGCAGGTTGTGCTCGTACACAATCTCAAATGGGGTGCGACCCGTAGTTTGACTTATAGATCTGATTTACGCAAACTCGGCTTGAGCAAGAATCGAATCTCACTGTTTGATATTTTTACCAACAAAGCATCTCAGCAGATATCCAACGCTCCTGCTTACTATCTCTGTCTAAACGTCTGTCTGGGAGCATGCTGTTGAATTGAATTGAAGCTTACCTCCTAGTTTTCTCCACAAAGTCCTCTAAAAGTGACTCAAAAACTTGACATCTCTGTTTGAAGTGATGGTCCTGGGTATTCCGTGCAGTTTTTCAATCTCCTTGAAATACAAGTTGGCTACATGCAATGCATCCAGTGTCCATTGGTAGAGTACGAAATGTGTTATCTTTGAGAATCAATCCACCACGACCATAACTAAATCCTTGTTTTGTCGAGTTCTCGAAAGTTCCACCATAAAATTTATGTTACATCCATCCACGATGCCTCTGGTATTGGTAATGGGGTGTATAAACCTGCATATTTCTCTTTGATTTTTGCCATATGACAAATCATGCATTTTCGGACGTGCTGCTCCGCATCTCTCGCTAGTCAGGGCTTAAAGAAGTGTTCTTTTACAAGTGTGAGTCTTCTTTCTACCAAAATGCTCCTTAAGTTTTTCACTGTGGCTTTCTTGAATAATGGACTCCCTTAGCGAACATTTGGGAATGCACAACTTGCTCTGGTAGAACAAGTATTTATTAGCTCTGCAGTATTGCCTGATAGACTTCTCCTAACACTGCTTCCAGATTTTCCCGAAATCCGCATCTCTTGTATAGCTCCTTTACTACCTCAATGCCCACGACTCGAGCTTGCATCGCAGTGATTGGCATGTGACAGAGGCTCAGTGCATTCGCTACTTGGTTTCGACTCCCTGCCTTTTGCTTAAGCATGAGCTGGAACGATGCTAAGAACTCCAACCAAGTTGCGTGTCGGCTCTTCAGTTTACTCTAACTATTTAAGAATTTCAAGATTTTGTGGTCCGTGAACAACATGAACTTGCTCGTTCGTAGTAATGACTCCATTGTTTAGTAGCTCTCATTATAGCATAAAACTTCAGGTCGTGCATTGTGTATTTCTTCCTGGAATCATTCATCTTCTCACTAAAAAGGCGATGGGATCACTTCCCAAGCTCAGCGCTGCTTCTATGCCCACGCCGGATGCAACACAACTTTACCTCAAACAGCTTGTTGAAATCTGTTAATGCTAAAACTGGTGTCTGGGTCTCCTTCTCTTTAGGTGCATTGAAATTATTCTGAGCTGCATCTGTCTACTGGAATTTCTCTTCCTTCAAAAGTTATGCAGAGAGGCGGTGATGGTACTGAAGCTTTTGATGGATCACCTGTAAAATGACACTAGTCCCAGAAACTATCTCAACTCGGTGAACGAACGCGGTGCGATCTAGTTTGCAATAGCCTCGATCTTTATAGGATCCATCTGAATGTCTGTGCTAGACACAATATTACCCAAAAAACATACATGGTCTATCAAAAAGTGACACTTTTTTAGTTGGACATGAAGCTTTTCTTCTTGCAATACCTCGAATACCGCGCTCAGGTGATGTAAGTGTTCCTCAGATTGGTTGTATATTAAACCACCTCAAAATTTTCAATATGGGTGCATTTGACAATCAGAAGGGCATAACCATCTACTTGTATAACCCATCTCGTGCCTTGAAAGTGGACTTGGTGATACCCACTGATCTAAGAGTTCGTCTTGGTGAGGTATGGGGAATCAGTACTTGATTGTATTCTTGTTGATGACCATGCTATCAATCATTCGTCACGAACCGTTCTTCTTGGGTACCATCATGGTGGAGACAACACACGGACTAATACTCTATCTAACCAACCATCTTGAGACGAGATCCTATACCTGTCGCTTCAACTCATCATACTCTGTCAGTCTCAATCTCTAGACAAGCCAATTTGGCAACACTGATCCTGCTATGAGATTTATGGTGCGTTAAATGTCCCTCGGTGGAGGTAATCCCTTTGGAAGACTTCGGTCATCACATCCTGAAAGTCATGTAGTAGTGGTTGTAGCATTGTAGGTATCTCACTCTTCTCAGTTCCCTCTAGTAGCGCTAATGTCAGTACCACTGAAGCATCCCAAGTTGACTGCTTGAAGGTGGTCATTGAGACTAACGCCTCCTCTTTGTCGCCTATCCCTCGCCTCCTTAATAGGTAACAACATGATGTGTTTTCTATTTTTTTAAAAAAGCAATTATTCTTGAAGCCATTGTGCTGAGTCTTGTAGTCGAACTACCAAGGCCTCCCCAATAGAATATGACACGCATCCATCGGAATCACGTCGCACCCCACTTGCTCTTGTAACTGATGCCCAATTGAAAGTTCAATCAAGCACTGCCCATGCACGCATATCTCGTTTCCCTTTTCAATCAGGTGAGGGAATATATTTGAGGATGTTTCTGTGCGGCCAATCCCAATTTCATTATCATCAGCGTGGACACCACATTTTCATAACTCGCACCGTCAATGATCAAACTGCAAACATTGTCCTTTACCGTACACTTGGTGTGAAAGATATTGTGTCTCAACCATGAATAATCTCTTTCCAGCTCTGACTGTAGAACTCTCTGTATGACTAACATTTCTCCTTCATCACCCTGAAACTGAATTTCTTTCTTTGGACTATCCTCTGACTTCATGTCTCCACCTTATCGACGACACCCTGGTCTATGAGTGAGACATCTTTGCTCGTGGGCCAGCCGGAGGCTGTGTGTTCTTAGCCATGACAATCGACACCTCCTGACAAGCACTGTATTGGAAGAAGTTCCTTTTTCTGGCCTCTTTCCACTCATATTTGTCTTGTTACTCCCCTGTCCTGCCTTGCTAACTCCCCCAAAGGTACCCTTGTCAGTTGCTATAGTTGTAGGTGCTATAGTTGTAGGTGATTGCCCTAGGTGATTGCCCGTCTGAAAATTGCTGTCTCGAGATTAAGGCTATGTTTGGGGGGGTAGGGGGCATGCGGCGCGGGGAGACACTGCGTTTTTTTTCGATTTTGGGCGGCGTTGCTGCCGCAACTTTGTGTGATTTGGTGTGAAAGCCGAAAGCCAGCTATATGTCACGGCTCAGCTTCCTCAACGCGACTTTTACCTCTGTGCCTCTTCATCTGTTCCATCCTTCCTTCGCCATGGACCTAATTCCCTTTGTCGATCCATCCAGAAAATGGCGGTTATCCACTTGAAAACCCTTATCAGCCTCCAACCAAATTAGCCGCGGAGCTTCGAACACTGGAGGAACTAGCTGCTTAAGGCGATAACACCGGTGAAGGCTGAATATCTCTGGCAGCCTCCGTCGAGAACGGCTTTTACGGCTAATGAAAACTGCTCCTTCAGGCGTGTTCAAGGAGAAGTCCAAGCGGCAGTGGAAGAAGTCCTGTGTATATTTTACTTGTTGGAAATTCGTGATTCAGGTTCAGACTCTTATTTCAGAGCTAAATGAAATATTGGCACATGGTGTTTTTGACCAAGATGGGCAGTGGAAAAAGAAGCTCACACAACAGTCTCCTTATGTTGTTTGAATTCCTTCCCCAAGCAGTCCAGGAACAGCTTCTTTTGGAAAGAGATCCTCATGGCAATGTTCAGGTACTTAGAGCATCACTGCCTCTGCCATTTGATGTTTAATGAAAATTTTCATCTTCTTTTTATCTTCAGGACTCCAATAGAAGCCTTAGGAGCTTTGTGGTAACACGATTTGGGCAGCATTTAAGCAGGATTTGATCTGCATCATGCCAATTAGCCAAAATTGATGGCTTTATATTGTTGTTTGGTCCTTCTACAATTGGAACCATGCTTGTGACATCTTCTTTTAATTAGCTTGCTTTTGAAGATTGGTTTGGATTAGATGGAATTCAAGGATCTTACGTGATATACTGTCAATATTTAGAGTAACTTTAATTTTTTAGTTGACTTCTGATTTGTTTGATGATATTTAAGGTTTTCTTGTTCAAAGCGTGTGGTAGTTTTGATAACTTTTTTATGTTTCATCTCCATATTAGATTTATTATTAACACGATGTGATGATGTGGGTATACTGCAACAAGATAAAGTTGATTAATATCTGTAAATCTGGACTATTTTTTTACTATTTTGATACTCACTGTGATGTGAGATGAATATTTGTAATTCTGAACTGTTTTTATTTGAACTTTTTCCTTAAAAGTATCAAAATTATGACTTCTAAGATTGACTAAAAATTGTAGAAGTTTATTTTTTACCTGTTTAGCTTGGAAAGAGAATTTTTGCTTCTGATGTATCATATATAAGACTATCATTGTTCTGTTTCAAACAGTTTAACTAAACAGGGGCAGAATGATCATTTTTTTCAGAAATAACTACCTCACAGCTGTTTTCACACAGCTGCAACAAACAACCAGCTAGCTTCCCCGCAGCAGCTTCCCCACAGCAGCTTCCTGGGGCAGCGCAATAGCAGCTGAAAAGCTGGAAAGCTGCGGCTGCACCAAACAGACCCTAAGACTTTGTTTTGCGTAGCTGCAGCTTACCAGCTTTTCAGCTTCAGCTGCGCTGTCCCAAGAAGTTGTTGCGAGGAAGCTGACTGTCTGTTTGGTGCAGCTGTGTGAAAACAGCTTCAGAGCAGCTGTTTTTGGAAAAATGATCATTCTGCCATTCTTTGGTAAAACTGTTTAGGGTGCACATGCTTCGTAACACCCCAAGAATGTACCACGATAAACTCCTTCATGCTACTAAATATTACATATCCAAATTGATATACGAAGCTGGCGATGGGAGAAGAGGAAAGGGAGGAGCAGAGACGCAAGGGAGACTCTGGAGAGAATTTTCGAAGATCCATATACCTTGATTCTTATGGTTTTCGAATGAGGAGTAGAGCAGAGGAATGTGCTTCTTTTTTTCGCACGAGGGGAAGACGCGGAGGAGGAGGCCACTATGGCAAAAGTGTCGCGAGGGTAAAGGTAAAAAATTTTAGGGGCCAATGTGGGGCCATGGGGTTGATGCCGCGGCCTGCTTCCCAAAAGCTTCTTATCACCGCCCCCGCAAAGTTACGAAACAAACAGGGAAAAAATTTTGCTCGCAGCAGTTTGCGGCCATGCCGCGCAAAAACCGCGGCCCCAAACACAGCCTAACTCTATTTTAAAAAGCATGGGAAGAGTCCAGTTAATAGAAACTTAAATGAAATGAGTCGCTATCTTTAGTTGCATGCTATAAAATTGATATAAACCCTAAACCCTAAATTTTGAAGGTCAGTGCACTACCTGGTATGTTAACAGCTTGTACAAATTCGAGTTCCTCCTAATCATTTACCTTGTTTTCCGCATTTGTTATTGTTCCAAAATAATGTAGGATGTGGTTTTCTTTTTGGATGTTTATCATGCTTCAAATTTCTATTCTTTATTAGGTCTTATTTCTAATGTACCACTACTTTTCTGCCACGGGAATGTACAATGCGATCCGCATCTTTATAGCTGCTTATGTCTGGATGACTGGATTTGGGAACTTCTCTTATTATTTTGTCAAAAAGGATTTCAGCCTCGCTCGATTTGCTCAGGTATGTATGCAATTATGTGGTTTCTATTGTCTTGTTTGTTAAATGTGTTGTCTTTGATGTTTCACACTTCAAACACAGATGATGTGGAGACTGAACTTATTTGTGATCCTGTGTTGCATTGTCCTCAACAATGATTACATGCTGTATTATATTTGTCCAATGCACACTCTATTCACCCTTATGGTTTATGTGACACTCGGTATTTTCAACAAATACAATGAGATTGGGTCGGTTATTGCTGTGAAGATCTTCTCTTGTTTTTTGGTTGTTATCTTGATATGGGAAGTTCCTGGAGTTTTTGAAGTTCTGTGGACTCCCTTCACCTTCTTTTTAGGCCAGTTTCTTGTACAATTTTTTGCGGTCCCGTGTGTCTTGTTGATTATCTCAGGTGGTAACAGTTCTTTGAATTTTTTTTGGTGCAGGGTACAAAGATCCAGATCCTTCTAAGGCAAGCATCCCTCTTTTGCATGAATGGCACTTCAGATCTGGTCTTGATCGCTATATCTGGATCATAGGAATGATTTATGCCTACTACCATCCAAATGTAAGTTTCTTGGACACACACTCACACCCCCCTTATATATATATATATATGATTTCTGCCTTGGTTTGCTTCATCGTTCGATCTTCTTGCATGCCAAGTTGAAAGATGGATGGAAAAACTTGATGAAACCGAAACTAAATTGAGATTATCAATTAAATCAAGCATAGTTGTAGTTTGCTTGTTGGTAAGTCGCATGCATTCCTTGTTCTTCTAATCATAGGAGATGTCATCATCATTTTATGTTGGAACATATGATTAACAAGAATTTTATGCATATTTCTAGGTTGGTGGTTTGTGGTATGAATATATCTACAGGCTAGACAAAATTACTTACAATAAATACCATCCTTACACTTCATGGATCCCCATCACGTAAGAGCTTATTTGAGAAATGTAATCATATTTAAGTTAGTGCTTCGTGCCAAACTAACGCATTCTTATTATGTATTTTAGCGTTTATATTTGTCTAAGAAATGTTTCACAGCTGCTTAGAAGTGACTCGTTGACCCTCTTTGCGTAAGTTCTTTTCAAAGCTAAAGGCATACATCTCCAATACTTTTAGATCTCGTTGTGAGTTAATCATTGCAAATTTTTTTTTCCCCTTTTGTGTTCTTAGGTGGCTTGGCAAGGTCACATTGGAGACATATATCTCGCAGATCCATATCTGGTTGAGGTGGTGCACTTCAAGCTTTTTTTATTTTATTTTATTTATGTTAAACTATTTGATTTGGCAATAATTTCACATTGTTAGGCTTTAAATGGGCTTATGATTTAGCAATCAAACAAGAATTTGTGAGAAAATTTCTTTGAGTGCCTGAATAATCAAGTATGATCTAGTTTATCAGTCTCATCAAACATCAGGATAGTTTTCTTCATTTTTCTTTGTTAGTGCTACCATTTTTTCCAGCATGGTCGAGCTTGATCTGATTATTCCATTTAAAATTAGAAGTTTGTCAAGCTCATCTTTGTTACATTCTTACCATGTCTAGCCTTTATATTATTTCTTTTTGTTGAAACATTTACCCCATACTATATTTACAACTAATTAAGATCATTAAGGGTAACCAACTAGAAATGAGATTGATTGTATAAACTCTCTGAACTCAACCGAGAGAAAGAAAGCTGAATATGCATCCAATTTTCAACTCTCCTAAAGAATAAAGCTTCATTGAGTATGAGTTTGGGTTTCCTGATTGAAATTTGCTAGTTAATGCCCCAAATAAAAAATTGTGTATCATATGGCAATTTCATCTTCAATCAAATCGAAGATCTTGATTATTTAATTAATATGTTATTCATGTAAACCGATCTCTAGATTGTGCTATATACTGTGGATGGTACTAGCAATTTAAAAGTTGTACCTATCATATTATACGATTGTGCTCCTGATGTATAATATTGTTTTTTCTATACTAATTTGATTGATGTGTAACAAATCAGCCTAATATTTTATTGAGGTCAACAGTAGGATGTAGTTTTCTTTTTGGATATTTATCATGCTTCAAATTTCTATTCTTTATCAGGTCTTATTTCTAATGTACCACTACTTTGCTGCCACGGAAATGTACAATGCGATCCGCATCTTTATAGCTGCTTATGTCTGGATGACTGGATTTGGGAACTTCTCTTATTATTTTGTCAAAAAGGATTTCAGCCTCGCTCGATTTGCTCAGGTATGTATGCAATTATGTGGTTTCTATTGTCTTGTTTGTTAAATGTGTTGTCTTTGATGTTTCACACTTCAAACACAGATGATGTGGAGACTGAACTTATTTGTGATCCTGTGTTGCATTGTCCTCAACAATGATTACATGCTGTATTATATTTGTCCAATGCACACTCTATTCACCCTTATGGTTTATGTGACACTCGGTATTTTCAACAAATACAATGAGATTGGGTCGGTTATTGCTGTGAAGATCTTCTCTTGTTTTTTGGTTGTTATCTTGATATGGGAAGTTCCTGGAGTTTTTGAAGTTCTGTGGACTCCCTTCACCTTCTTTTTAGGCCAGTTTCTTGTACAATTTTTTGCGGTCCCGTGTGTCTTGTTGATTATCTCAGGTGGTAACAGTTCTTTGAATTTTTTTTGGTGCAGGGTACAAAGATCCAGATCCTTCTAAGGCAAGCATCCCTCTTTTGCATGAATGGCACTTCAGATCTGGTCTTGATCGCTATATCTGGATCATAGGAATGATTTATGCCTACTACCATCCAAATGTAAGTTTCTTGGACACACACTCACACCCCCCTTATATATATATATATATGATTTCTGCCTTGGTTTGCTTCATCGTTCGATCTTCTTGCATGCCAAGTTGAAAGATGGATGGAAAAACTTGATGAAACCGAAACTAAATTGAGATTATCAATTAAATCAAGCATAGTTGTAGTTTGCTTGTTGGTAAGTCGCATGCATTCCTTGTTCTTCTAATCATAGGAGATGTCATCATCATTTTATGTTGGAACATATGATTAACAAGAATTTTATGCATATTTCTAGGTTGGTGGTTTGTGGTATGAATATATCTACAGGCTAGACAAAATTACTTACAATAAATACCATCCTTACACTTCATGGATCCCCATCACGTAAGAGCTTATTTGAGAAATGTAATCATATTTAAGTTAGTGCTTCGTGCCAAACTAACGCATTCGGAAGTTACTCGTTGACCCTCTTTGCGTAAGTTGTTAAGCTAAAGGCATACATTTCCAATTATTTTTAGATCTCGTTGTTGAATAATCATTGCAAATCTTTTTTTCCCCTTTTGTGTTCTTAGGTGGCTTGGCAAGATCACATTGGAGACATATATCGCGCAGATCCATATCTGGTTGAGGTGGGTGTACTTCAAGCTTTTTTTATTCCATTTTATTTATGTTAAACTATTTGATTTGGCAATAATTTCACATTGTTAGGCTTTAAATGGGCTTATGATTTAGCAATCAAACAAGAATTTGTGAGAAAATTTCTTTGAGTGCCTGAATAATCAAGTATGATCTAGTTTATCAGTCTCATCAAACATCAGGATAGTTTTCTTCATTTTTCTTTGTTAGTGCTACCATTTTTTCCAGCATGCTTCATTTTTCTTTGTCAGTGCTACCATTTTTTCCAGCATGGTCGAGCTTAATCTGATTATTCCATTTAAAATTAAAAGTTTGTCAACCTCATCTTTGTTACATTCTTACTATGTCTAGCCTTTATATTATTTCTTTTTGTTGAAACATTTACCCTTTACTATATTTACAACTAATTAAGATCATTAAGGGTAACCAACTAGAAATGAGATTGATTGTATAAACTCTCTGAACTCAACCGAGAGAAAGAAAGCTGAATATGCATCCAATTTTCAACTCTCCTAAAGAATAAAGCTTCATTGAGTATGAGTTTGGGTTTCCTGATTGAAATTTGCTAGTTAATGCCCCAAATAAAAAATTGTGTATCATATGGCAATTTCATCTTCAATCAAATCGAAGATCTTGATTATTTAATTAATATGTTATTCATGTTAACCGATCTCTAGATTGTGCTATGTACTGTGGATAGTACTAGCAATTTAAAAATTGTGCCTATCATATTATACGATTGTGCTCCTGATTTATAATATTTTTTTTTTCTAAACTAATTTGATCGATGTGTCAAATCAGCCTAATATTCAGTCTATGAATCGAATGATTATATTGCACGACCATCATCGTACCATACAATTATGATTGTACAATACAATTAGCCAATAACTTGAATTTCAAGTTTGTATCCTCTTTAATTTGAAGGTTTTTTTATTGAGGGCCGCCATATGCATGTTTGGAACATGCAACGGGTGGGTTAATTTTATTCACTCGAAACCCCTTAGAAAGAGATTAAAAAGTGAATTTTTAAGTGAGCATATTTTCTACACCAAGCTATCTTTCTCCTTAAAGCCATTGATATTCAAATTTGTGTATGTAGTTATGGAGAGCTAATTTTTTTATCAAATGAGAGAGATCCTTGATCTCAAATAAAGCAGCAGTTTGTTTCTTTCTTGCAGTAAGTCTCCATAGCAAGGAGAGAGGAGAGGGAGAGGAGAAAGAATTTGGAAGAATTTTGAATTGAATTTTACTCAGGATTCCTAGTTTATCTCAGGATTCCTAGTTTATATAGACAAAATTAAAGTAAGAGTTAATTTGACAATAGAATATGTCCAGAGAGTCTTACATCGGCAAAGTGCTTCTTGATGTGGTGTTTGATGTGGTGGTCTTGGAGTTTTACCTAAACAAGAAAGTTATCCTACGTTATGTGCTTAGAAATTGTTCATAATATTTGTGACGATGAAACTTATCACTTATTGCTGCTATAGTTGTTTACTTTAATCGTGCCATACAATTTGAACGCAATTTGTTCAATTTAGTGGGGCTTTGATATAAAGTGGATCAACCAATGACAGTTACTCCTAGTGAATTCACGCGGACTAAAAATTGAAGGTTTTTTAGTTTGTAGGCTGAATCGATCATCCTTTTTGTTTATTTAAAATTCATACAAATTTGTTAGATTCATGATGCTATGTCATGGTTTCCATCAAGTAATAAGTAGACCCATAATAGTCCTTCTTTAACTTGCAGGTTGGGCCGACCGAATGGGCAGCCCAAGTGGCTGCTTTCTCTTATTCCAAATTATCCACTGCTCAATTTTTTGCTAACTACCATAATCTATCTATTTGTGAGTAATCTCACCACTTGTTAAGTTAGATTTTATTCTATTTTTTTTTGTGCATCTTGCCTGTTCATGAGTGCATACATAACACACAATTCTTATCTATTTACATATTTCACCCCTAAATTTTCATATTTACTCACATATTTAATATCACATCAAAAATAACACCATCGTCATTTTAAAAGTGAAATACAAGTGATAGGTTTAAAGCACCAAAGTGCTATGTATGCAAATATCAAAGTGTAGGTGTGAGATATATAAATACATTAGAATTGTGTGCTATGTATATATTTTTCCCTAAATTCAATCGCTTTTGCCTTCTTCTGCAGATGTCCTTTAGAGTGTTTGAGCTTACAAATACACTAAAGAGTGCATTCTTACCCACCAAGGACAACAAGCGCCTTCTGCAAAATTTTCTTGCTGGGGTTGCCATCTCCATTTGTTTGTATTCTATTTCATTCATTCTCCTGCAGATACCAATACCCGCGGTATTTTTTATTTTGATTCTCTTTTATTTCTTATAATTTTTTTTAATCACAGATCCTCTCTCTCCCTCTCTCTCTCTCCCCCTTTCTCTCTCTCTCCCTCTCTCTCCTGTTTGTTCATTTAATAGCTGTATAGCAAATTGCAAATTCATTATTGGACCTTAATTCACAGGCATGACATCAAGCTTTTCATAATTTAATGAAGCTTTCATTTTGGTATGGTGCTGTGGAAAACCGATGATGAATGATTTGATTGAAGAATGGAATATTGGTGGCTTAATGTGAGCTTCAAATTTTGGAATATATATATATATAATTTTTGTGTTTCACAGTTCTGGTTGGTCTTCTTTCATTCTGGACAACGGTCAGATGCCCATGATTTCAAATTGTAAATGCATGGTGAAGGTTGGTTATTCCCTATAAAACTGAAAGCAGTTGTTTTTATGTTTATTTAGTTTTATATATTTGTTCATTATGTAAAGTTTGTAAGACTGCAGTATAATTTTTTTTCTAATATTATGTCCTCTCCTTCTTTTGAAATGATTTTTGTCGTAGTGAATGACAGTGGATAAATATTGTGCGCAGATTTTATCTTTTTCTTCATTTTAAGAATGTTTTGTTTGAAGTTGGTTTCTGTGATTATTAAGAAAGTTGGGTTTATCAGTAATAGTGGTAAAAAGATTTCTTACTGGAATTAGTCTGAACTTATATTACTATGTTTTTATTGATTGTAAATGGAAAAAATATTACATCAATACTCCTAATGCATTTGGAGTCCAATGGTGTGGCACCACGTGTCAAGTGGGTCCATCATTTTTAACACTGGCCAATGTCAGTGTGTTGCGATGGGGCTCACTTGATGTGTGCGCACAAGTTCCTGATTGATATAGTCAGCATAGTCCTTTCGGTTTTTCGCTTATGACACCATTTTTGAGATTACATCACAGAAATATGTAGGCATGATTTTCTAATTTTATTTATTTTCTAATTTTATTTATATTTTAAATTTATTATTTTATTTATATTTTAAATATGGTGGTACTTTTGCGCTTATGGTGTGATGTCTGTATATTAAAAAAATATTATGTACGAATGATGTATATATGATTTGGTTGGGTATTATGGTGGTATAATTGTAAATACTATTACAATATAGTTAAACAGGCATCTACTAGGCATCTACCTCTATCTGGACTGGTCGAACGTAATATTTGCCCTCTACTTCTGAATAAGTGTGGGAGTGCAGAAATCCTAGCCATGATTTCTTTTGCATTTATTCACCTTAATAACATCGATTATATTAATTTTAGTTTAAACGCTAACCTATTTTAAAATTTTCTCAAATAACAACCCTCTTGTATATCTACCCTATTGTATGTGGGCGGATTAGTCTTTTATTTTTTTAATTACATGTCATGTGAATTTCAATTTACCCATCACATCACTCTTTATAGGACTGTTAACGATCTGCTTTTGAGCTAAGTCGGCTAAAAATTGGCTCTAAAAAAAAAAGATGAATATCAGGGCTCATTTGTTTCGATACGATCTTGATTCAAGCCCAAAATTTGAATCAATCCTTGAGTGAATATATGATTTTCGAGCAAAATTCATATCCCTCTTCCAATCAGAGCATTAACAGCAAACATGCTAATGTATTTACAATTTCCATTGGAAAGATATCTAAGCGCCATACTTAAGAATGCAAAAAAAATATTAGCGAAAGAGTCCAGATGCATTCGAAATCTAAGGATGCGGTGTCACATCTCAAATGGGTCTCAAAAATTTTAACACTGACCAATCTTAATATGTTATGATGGGCTCACTTGACACGTGACACCCCGTCATTAGATTTCGAACTCAAATTACATCTAAAATTCGAATGTAATATTTGTTCTAAGAATGCACACTCCACCATTTCCCACTCCCTCTGGGCTAACCACCAATCCTCTGACCTCCCCTTCTCCATCTTCATCCCCACCAACTCTCCCTCCCCACAACAACTTCTATCCTCTCTTCGCCTCTCAACAGCCGCGCTTCTGCCGCCATCTTCCGTTCCGCATCCCTCGCACTCCTCTTCCCCAACCCCTTAAGCTTCAGCATTTTCCTCAGCACGGTGGTCAAAAGGCGCGGTGCGGGCTTTGCTTTGGGACGATGGTGGGGACGCGCCAAATGAAGTGTTGGCTTTGGAGGGTATTTTATGTGAAATTTATTTTCTTAGTTGAGCGTTAAGAGTTTTTTTTTTATATAACTATTATTTTCATTTTTATAACAGTATTATTTTAACTTTTAAAAAGTGAAAGTAAAATGACACGTATAATCAAAAATTGAAATTTAGGTGTATGTATGTAAAAGAGATTTATTATAAGATCTAGGGCTGTAAACGAGCCGGACTTGAGCGAGCTTAGGCTTGGCTCGTGTTCGGCTCATTCGAAATAGCTTGTGTTCGATGGCTTGTGAACAATGTGTTCGTGTTGGGCTCGATTTAAATATTTGTGTTCGTGTTCGGCTCGATTTAAATATTTGTGCTCGTGTTCGGCTCGAAATTGGCTCTTTAAAACTAAATTGAAAAAAATAGATGTAAAGTGCGGGCTTCAGACCTCGACCAAAAATATACAAAATAAAACACTAACTACATTTCTACATGAGAATTTATGATTTAATTTTAGATATAATCATATATAATATATTATTACATAAATAATATATGTAATATATTATTATATAAATTGTTAACTTTTTTTTTATTTCGAAAATGAACGAACAAAGAATTGTTCGTATTCGGCTCTTTTATAATTCGAGCTTTAAAAATTTGTTCGTGTTCGGCTCGTTTTCTTAACAAGCGATAAGCGATCCGAACATGAGCTACTTAACAAGTCGAACATGAGTTGTTGCTAACAACAAGCTTTTTTGACAGCCTTAATAAGATCATCGCAAATCTATTTGGTATAGAATATAAATATTAACGATGAAAAGTAATTTTTATATTGATGACATTAAAGATTCACGATTAAAATGATTTACAAAGGATTCACATTCCAAACGTTGAATGGGCTCTTCTTATTGGGAGAAATTATTGTTATTATGTGGAGCTTTATATTATTAATCAATTCTATGTCTATGTACCATACCTAAAACACTTAGCATCCCACCCAGTCAAGCTTTAGAACCCGAGAGCACTATGCTCCAACGACGCTTTGGAGGATCGTGGTGGTGCGTTGACACCAGCAATCAATTTTAGATAGCATTTCACTTATGAGTTCAGGTTTTACAGAAGGGAATATATAGGATTTAATTCTCTTATGCAAAGAATTAGATGATAGGAGTCGAGTCAAGCTCGAGCCATGCCCTCATCAAGCTCGGCTCATAGTGATAGCAGCAAGCTCGCGAGCTTCAGCTAAAAATTTAAGGGGAATTTACATACATAGCAGCCAATTATTATGCATTTATTTATCTTACACCCAAACTTTGATTTTTATGTGATAAGCATCTTTTCTATGTATGATAAGGTGAAAATAGTGCAATCCACCTTTTCATACATAGGTTAGGTTGCTCACAATGTAAAAATCAAATTTTGGGTGTGAGATAAGTAAATGCGTTAGAATTAGGTGCCATGCATGTAAATTATCCAAAATTAAATTTTTACATTAGCTGGCCGAAAAAGGTATTGGTGGCCGGAGGAAGAAGATACAGCTGCAACTCACTAGAAAATTTATCATATTAAAATGACTAAGGGTAGGTTAATCTAGCCAGCTCACGAGCAAATGAATCTAGCCGAGACAAGCTCGATCTCGAACTCATTTTCAACAAACTCAAGCTTGAGCTCGAGCTCGAACTCATGGCTTGATAAGCTCGGCTCGTGAGCTTCAGCCCACTCGTGCGGTCCATACTCGCGAGCATGTTCTGCTCATTTACACTCTTCTAAGAGTGTCATTGAATTTCCAAAGTGTAGAAAGACTCGAGTATGGTAAAGTTTATATGATTCTCCTCATCTTTTTCGTAGTGGATTTCTTAACATGATGTGGCTTCATCATTTTTTTCTCGTTATCAGATTTTTTCTCGTTATTAGATTTTTTCACTTTAAATATGGCGTTTTCTGTAATTTAATCCCTCCCAACAATTATTAGACTTGGAAATCTCTATTTGTGGTCTACATAAATATATAATCCAGTGGAGTATAGAACTAGCACCATAATAGTATACTCTACGTGTGAGTTGTTTTTTTAGAAATTTAAACGAATTTAATTTAAATATACTCTATTTGTTCAAAAATTAAACTCCTAGCTAATAAAGGCTAAGATAACTAGCATTACCATACATGTGATTGATTTTATCTTCATACACTCTACTTCAAATAATTATTCCCAACTGATTTGTGGGATTGACATACATTCTACTTAAATTTCATACATTTATATGTTAAACTCATGAACTTTAACATTTCCTAAAATAAGACTCATAAAGATATAGATAGATAACTCCTCTTATTCAGCCATGAAAGTTTGTAGGCAAAAAAAAAAATCAGTCTGAATGCTAATTCCTTTAGTTATATAGCCTTCTTATTTTTAATTATTTTAAATAAAGCTTCTCCTCAAAGCTCACACTTACTAGAGCAAAACTTTTCCTCATAACAAAACAAAGCAAAATTTTGATATGCTGATGTTTATTTTTTTAAAAGTAAGAATCCATCATTAATATCATTCAAATCACCCAATTTCAAAAATATCTTTAATATATATAAAAAACTATTATGATTTACCCTCCATCTTTCTATAATATTGCATTTCTTCTATATCAAATGTTTAGTGATATACACATAGGATTTGCGACTCATATATATACATCTTCCATGATCTTTATACATGTTATTTAAATATATGATCATCTTTTCAAATGTTATGCTCCTCTAATATATAATATTTGAAATTTTATTGAAAATCTATCAAGCAATTGTAAAATACATGAGCTTCTTACATAAATAACAGACCTGAGAAAGAGAAAGAGGCTATCTAAACTTCTATAAATAACAAAACTTATCTGCATATATTTGAAATCACCTTTGATTAATACCTTTAAAAAAGAGTAATGTGTCAAAATAATCTGCAATTATTTATATGGGGTCATTTTAATCCTAAAGTTTATATAAGTGACAAAATAGCCTCCGAACTCTTTAAATTGGGGTTGAAACCGTCACTATTCAAGACTATTAAAGCTCAATTTTAAAATAGCTCTCGAAAACTATTTTGACACTTCAATAAACTTCAAAACTAAAACAATCACATGTGAATAGGCCGAGGACTAATTTGACAATCTACTCCTTCAAAAAGTCATGTAAATAGGCCAAGGACTAATTTGACAATCTATTCCTTTAAAAAGTGAAATCATTTCAACCAACCCTATATGATTAAGATTCTACAAAATTAAAGAGTCGGCCCTACACAGGCTTATGGCCATCTCAATCATTCTTCCTTTCAGCAAAGTTAGGTTAAGATAAGAACGACAAAGCTAATCTTTTTGCTCTGCAATTCGGAGAAAGATTGAAGGGAGAAGCGTAAAGCGACTTCAATTTTAATTTGAAATGATATTAGCCAACCAAGTTGATTAGCTACCAGGAACCAGATATCTTTGGAAAGAAGAGAATGGGCCCCTGGTCAATTAAAATATTAGCGTGTAATGATGAACAATAATTAATTTGGTGAACCTAAATAAGATTAGAGTAACTATGGCTACAAATGTCAAAATGAATGTGGAATGGGAATATGAGAATCAAGCTTTTTGGATTTGGATTTCTGTGGAAAGTGAATGATGTGTGATATTTTCACAATAGTTAATATATGAAAAATTGGCTAATTAGGTTGTCGGCATAACATAAAACCTGATGAGCATGTTAGGAAGTGCTCCAACCATTTATTAACCATGATGAGCATGTTAGGAAGTGCTCCAACCATTTATGAGGGTACGCTTGGGATGGTTGTTGCTTTTTGGAGAAGCAGCTATGAAACTGTTTTTTGGAGGAGCAGCTTCACAGGTACTGTCAGAAAGCAGCTATTGGAATAGCTTGAATATGTTTGATTAGATTTTAATTTAGAAGAATTTATTATTTAAATTGATTTAAGATATGTTGTGATTGAGTTTATAGAAGTTTAATACACACACACACACACACACATAAATATGTGTATGATAAATGTGTGTTTTAGGTTGTAGTTTATTTTTTAGATTTATTTGAACTTATTAATTTATTTGGGTTAAAATTGATATCCAAATTTTAAATTCATTTCTCAATTAGGGTTTAATTTTAGGACATTAATGCACATACCAACCACTTCATATGTATCTGCATATTTATACAAAGAAAGGGTGGAATACATGTAAATATCCCTTTTAACAAAAAAAAAAAGAAATTATTTGAAGAAATTATTTGAATATATTTCATTTGAATATATTTCATTTTAATTTTGTTCAATTTAATTCCAATTGAATATCTTCGGTTAAATTTAGCTTTAGTTTATGCTTAATTTTAAATTTTGGCTTGATTTAATTTAACTTTGGTTTACTATAACTTAAAGTTACAATCAAAATTTCAAGTTTATTCATCAACTTTTTTAGGTTTATTTTAATCTTGATTTGGGTTCATTTATCTTAAATTAAGTTGACTTCAAATTTAAATTTGTTTACTTGTTGATTTCAATTTCAATCTTAATTTTAATATTAATTTAAGCCAAGCACAAGTCTATCTTAGGCAACCAGAGCACCACTAAACCAAAGCAAAAGCCCAACCCAGACCACACCAGGGTCAACTGAATCTAACTTCAGTTAACAAAATTAGGGTCAACTAGGCCACCGAGGGATTCTAGGAAAAGAATCTTAGACGAAGATAACAAAGGGAAGAAAGAAAACCAAAAAAACAAGGATCAACATTGACGCATTGAGCGGAACTTTATACATGCTTTTCGAGCATGGTAAGATGAAACTCATACATGACGCTCGCTACATGATGAGCAATTCAAAAACTCTCGAATCGCCTATTGCAGCGTGTTGAACAGATCTGTGTATATTTTTCATAATGTGGTGAGGCAAAACTCATATATGATGCTCAAGATGAGGCAAACAATTCAAAATTAAGTACATATATATGTTTTTCGTAGCGAGGTGGAAAAAATATATGAATTTTTCTAATGCAGGTAACCTATCAGCGCTTTCGTAGCATGGTAGGTGATGACTAACAAGTCGCGATGTCAAACTACCCATAAGCGCATTTAGTAGCGTGGTGGGCAGACTCCGCTTTCTCAAAGTAGCCCCTATCGCAAGAATGATTTTGGGAGGCTGCTGAAATGCTACCAAAATTCTATCTAATTACCTCTTATGATGAATAACTAAATTGAACTTGTTCGAGCTAAAATACAATTAAAATAAAGCTTCCAAATTGTAAATTAAAGTTAAAAAAAATTGGGACTTAAAAATATTATATGAATTATTAAGTTAAAAAAAAAAGATGCAATTAAATTAAATATAACCTGCATAAGTTTTATAGGGGACTCAACAACTCACCAATGAGCTATAATGAAACATGTAATTGTCTTAGTTGGCTCACCAATGGGTATAAACTGAATTGTTGAATTTTTGAAATTATAAGCTTCATTGAATGAATTAGGGAGCCGCAAGAAATTTGCTATGATTTTGAAAGTATATTTTTCAACTGTTTTAAAACATATGGTCGGCCCATATTGAATTTAATTGCAAACAAATAAGCATAACAAAAGTTCACCGAACCTCAAAAGAGATCCCTCTCCTGTTGTTGCTAGCTGCCAAACCGGAATATCATGATTACACAAGTTATATCACAGTACACAAGCGGGGTGTCATCTCCCAAAAGAGCTTTTAAGAGGGGTGGACAGCTCAGGATTTAAATACTGCTTTTCGGCATACACCTAGCCAATATGAGACTATTTGTCCGTGACATTCTCCTCCACCCAATCACATGACGCCCTCGTCACGGATCGGCTCCACCGAGGGTCCACTGGACCATGGAGAGTCCACACACCTTGCAAACAGTAATCTTCTCTGTAACTATTTGTCACCTCCCAAAAGAACTCTTAAGAGAGGTAGGTAGCCCGGGATTTAAATATTATTTTTCGGTCCAACACCTAACTGATGTGGGACTATTTGTCCGTGACAAGAGCCTACCGCAAACGAGTTCCAAGTTTTTCCTTTTCCTTCAAGTCCCTGTTTTAAATAGCTCGCCAAACCAATAATTCAACATTAACCAAAATAAATATTTAAAACAGTACATTAATCATGACTTCACCGACTGGGCTGCAAGAGCGAGATCATGCGCGCGCTTTACAGACACCCAATTCCTAATAATTCTTCCCTGACCACACAACAGGTATATTAAATTTATAACCAGGTCAAGCCTCAAAAAGAATCCTAGCTTCTGCAGGAGACGAGTGCAATCTTTTCACTTTTATTATTATATGTTATAAATCAAGATCCAGTGGAGAATTTCGAAAGAGGAAATTGAGACGTGCTTAGGGCGGCTGTTGTTGCTGTCACTTTTATTAATCTCATCAATTTTGATCCCGTTAAACAGTGAAAAGATATACAGGAGACAAAATGCTTCTCAGATCAACAATGTGAAAAAGTTAAGATTGACTAACATGAGGCTTTTATCATTAAAAATTAAAAATATATATATGGAATCCTGGAAGAATATAAACGAGAAAGTGGAATAAAATACCTCCTTTTTCAGAGCCCGGATATACTTGCTTCTTCATAGAAGCAGCAGTGGCAGTGACCTTCAAGCGGCAGGAAGAAAGGAACAAGAGAGAAATATCTTGAATAATGGACCTCAGACACGTCCAATGCCTCATTTTCATAATGAATTTGTTCCTTTCATCAGGTAAATCCTCTTCCAAAGCTCTGTCTAATCCTAGAGTAGTCTTCTGAATTCATTGCCATGATAGCTCCCACAAGGTTGAATTCTACTTCTAAGTAGAAACCTTGCGCATAATCAATGAGATCAAAGAAGCATTCCTTTTCTTCCAATCATATTCATCATGAAGATGCAGGGAGAAATCTCCAAGACTTCTCAAACAAGCTGTGTATCTCTCCACTCTAAATGCTGGAAATTTCCAGTCTCGCATGCACACCTCTGTTATTTTCCCTGTTCTAAAGCAACTAAGATTCATGTTTTAGCTCAAAGAATTTTCTTTTTGTCCCTTCTCATGTAAATTCACTTAAACTTTTATTTTCATGCACAGAGATATCTTTTCAAGCATAAGCAATTCTATTCAAAGCAAATCTTATGAAAAGTGCAATATTTTTTTTCTATCTATGTTCTTTCCCATTCCCTTCCCTTCAACTTATGGTAATACCAGCACACCATATCTCAAGTCATTTACGCAGAGCTGGGCTGATAGATTTTTATTGTAAAATCGACATTAACTACTTCAACATTGCAGGAAACTTGGCTAAAGAACCAGGAGATTCAAGCCACTACATATCTGCTTCTGCAACTGCACTAACAGCCATACATGAAGAGGTACTGAACTCCACACTACAGGAAAGAATGCTTCTGCCCAGACCCGAGCTGAAGCTCCTTACTTCCATGACTCAACACGACATTTTAACCCCAATTCCAACAGTTCCAGCCACCAACCCATCAAACCCAGCTACAAGTACAACGCCCACATATAATCCAATACCTACAGTATCAAATCCTACAACTCCAATGACAACTCCATCAACAATGAATCCAATAAACCCTTACAGAACTCCTAGCATGGGGATACCTTCATCATCAACAGGACAGAGCTGGTGCATTGCAGGCCAGTCAGCTTCACAAACTTCGCTGCAGGTTGCCCTGGATTACGCTTGTGGCTATGGTGGTGCAGATTGTTCACAAATTCAGCCTGGTGGGAGCTGCTTCAACCCAGATACAGTTCGAAATCATGCATCTTATGCCTTCAACAACTACTATCTAAAGAATCCAATACCTAGTAGCTGTGATTTTGGAGGAACTGCAGTTATCACGAATATTGATCCAAGTAAGTTTTAATAGCTCAGATATCCTCATTATTAATACGAATTTAAAGGAGAAATTGATCCACATATTAATGCATACTGGTTCAATACAGTTAACCCACACTAGAAGATGTTTCCCAAGTAAACTTCTACATATACTGAATGCAAGAATCAAACATAAACTGAATTTGAAGAGTGTTAATTGTTCCTCTCCTTGATTCAGGTACTTCAACATGTCAGTATCCCTCAACAAGGTAAATTTTCACATTGATAATCAAACCTCAGTAATCTTGAGATAAATTTTTACATCTCTTACACTGATTTATGAATTAAAAAAAGAATATGTTATGACTCCGTACAGTACAAGTTATTCTGTTCTCAACACAACAAACCCATCAGGATCAACAGTCTTTGGATCAGCTCCTCCAGATTCCTCAGGCAGAGATCCCATGTCAAGAACTCTACCACTATGCCTCACTTTTTTGAGCGTACTAATGTCAAAGAGTTTATGAGGCACATGAACTTGTTAAGACTTTTTTAATGATTACGGATCACTAGTCCAACAGCTGATATGATGGAAGAAACTTAAGAGATGGCCAGAGAAAATGGGAGTAATGACACATTATAAACTCTAACATGCAATGGCATATCATATCAGATGTTCGACGCATAGTCCTCACCAAGACAGGTCATACAATCAGATAGAAAGATCCTAGTAGTAGGTGACATAAATCATTTACTTCTCATTGTAAAGTTTCTAAGGGGAATAAAGCATTATTTTTCTTCCCTTTTTGGCTACTAATTCTCTTATTTTGTGTAAAGCAATTACAGTAAGAATCTTCTTATTCCAGGATTGCAAATTTGAAGAGAACATCTGTTGGCATTTTGAGATATTTTGATATTTTACAGCATACATCATCTCGTTGGAACTCATTTAGCATGACATTGAAATGCCTTGGGTAACAGAAGACACCTTCACCCTTCTCTAACTTGCATAAACCACGGAAAACCAGATACAAGATTCAGAAGTCCACCTAGAAGTTAGTGTAAAACACACTCATTTGATGTAGGGATTGAGGAATGAGCTTTGCAATAAAGAGTAGAAGCAAGGGATTCAAATCATGTATTAAGCTAACCAATTCTTTATTTCTATCCATTCTCTTTATCAGTAAAAAGGTAGCTCGGTCGCTTTTAAACAGGGGGCAGTTTATTGAGAGGTAGGCATAGAAGAAAGGAAACATCACTTTCAAAGCCGCAAGCAAGTCACATATCTTTTCTTTCCTCTCCGTTTGAAGAGGGAGCTGATGGGTCCCTGATGAGATTTATACCTTGAATCATCTACGAGTCAATAGGCCATACACTATTGAATCCACATCTGTACTGAACCCTACTAACAAGGCTTGAGAGGTTGGGGATAAGAGAGAGAGAGAGAGAGAGAGAGAGAGAGAGAGAGAGAGAGAGAGAGAGAGAGAGAGAGAGAGAGAGAGAGAGAGAGAGAGAGAGAGAGAGAGAGAGAGAGAGAGAGAGAGAGAGGCTTTGACTCTTCTATTAAGCACTCTTCAAAATACAAGACATTGTATAAGTCCCACCATACCCCATTTATCCCTTAATTTATAAGATTATGGGGACTATTGGAAGAGCCATACAGGAAAATTAACAACAACAACAACAATAAGCCTTTATCCCACTAAGTGGGGTCGGCTACATGAATCTTTTTTTTCCATTGCATCATATTGAGTGGCATATTTTCATTTAATTTTAACATATTAAGATCCTTTTTTATACAATATGCCCAAGTCTTTTTAGGTCTACCTCTTCCATTCTTAATATAGGTGGCATCTAAAATATCTATTCTGCTTACAGAAACATCATATTATCAACGTTTAATGTGACTAAACCATCTAAGAAGACTCGTTATAACCTTGTCCGCCATTGGAGCTACACTAACCCTATCACGGATATATTCATTTCGTATTTTATCTCTAAGAGTCAGTCAAGCCACTCATCCACCTATCCACCTAAGCATTCTCATCTCAGCAACACTTAACTTTGTTTTATGTTTCTCTTTTAAAGGCCAACATTCTGCGCCATAAAGCATTGTAGGTTTTACCACTATTTTATAAAATTTTTCTTTTAGTCTAAGTGGTACTTTTTTATCACACAATAGGCCTGATGCATTCCTCCATTTCATCCAACCAACTTGAATTGTACTAATAACATCCCCATCTATATCATCAATCACCATCACTTTGAACAAGAGACTCGGGATATCTAAAATGATCACACATTTTAATAATTTGATTATCAAAAGTTACAACTCTACCACTACAGCTGCTACTACTAAAATTACATTCCATCCATTCAATTTTAGATCTACTCACATGAAGCCCTTTAGACTCCAATGTAGACCTCTATACTTCAAGTTTTTTCTCAACTCTTTCTAGTCTTATCAAAAAGAAGGATATCATCAGCGAAAAGCATACACCAAGGCACATCCTCTTGTAAAAGTACAATAAGAGAACCCATAACAAAAGCAAAAAAAAAATGGGCTTAAAACCGATCCATGATGTAAAGCAACTGAAATAAAAAAAAAAAATTTGTCAATCCTCCTTTGTCCAAACATTAGTAACAGCTCTATTATACATATCTTTAATGACTTAAATATAAGTCACATCAACGCATTTCTTCTCTAGAACTCTCCAAAGGACTCTTCTTAGAACCTTATCATATGTTTTTTTTTTTCTAAATCAATAAAAATCATATGTAGATCCCCCTTATTCTCTCCATACTTCTCCATAAAACCTCTCAATAAATATATAGCTCCCATAGTAGACATGTCTGTCAAAAATCCAAACTGATTATAAGAAATCTTTATTTCACGTCATAACCTATGTTCAATTAGCCTCTCCCATAATTTTAAAGTATGACACATCAACTTAATTGCTCTACAATTTGCATAGTCTTGTGCATCCCCTTTATTCTTAAAAATAGAAGCCAAAATATTCTTCTTCAACTCCTCAAACTTTTTTTTTGTTTTTAAAATAATATTAAAGAGCATATTAAGCCAAGAAACTCTCCAATCTCCTAAATATTTCCACATTTGAATTGGGATATCATCAAGTTCTATTGATCTCTACAATTGATTTTCTTTAAAGCTTCATCAACTTCTTTCTTGCCAATGCGATGGGAAAAATAAAATGTTTTATCATTATTGGCGATATTAAGATCACTACGGTCAATCACACTTTCAGAAACTTTATTGAACGGTTGATCAAAATAGTCACCCAAATATATTGAATATTTTTTCTCGCACTTTTTTATTTTCATCTTTAGTTCACTTTATTTGATTTAAATCTTTATTTATCTTTTTATCTTTGTTTGGCTAGTTTATACATATATCTTTCACCCTCTTTAGTATTAAATCTATTATAAAGAACTCTAAAGGCAAAATTTTTTGAATCATAAATTGTTCTCATAAACTCCCTATAAGTCATCTTATATTTTTCTCAGTTCTCTAAGTTTTTATATATAAACCAATTTTTTTAAAAAAAATTTTATATTTTATCTTTTCTCGAACATTATTATTCTACCACCAACTATTATTATTTATAAAAAAAATTCATTTCATTCTTCAGGTACATCTTTTGCCACTTATTTAAAAGTATATGTTTTTTTATCTCACATAGAATTCAGTTTTTCAAAAACATCTCAAATCTTGAAATCATGAAGTTTACTTACAAAAATAATTTTATTTGTGTCTTTTAGATGCCCAAATCTAATTCTATGATAATATTTTTTTGTATTATTTAACTTACAACTCTAAATCTTAAAATCAAGAACTAATAATCGATGTTAAGTACTTAAATTTTCACTTGGAATTGCCTTATAATCTTTACACTTTCAAAAATCTCTTTTTCTTATAAGAAAATAATCAATTTGTATTTTATTAAATCCATTCTTACACATAAAAATATGTTCATCTCTTTGCTTAAATAAATTATTAACAATAATAAATCATACGCTAAATCAAAATCTAATATAGTTCTACATTTTTATTAATCACTCCAAAATCATAACCACCATGAATATTTCTAAACTCTTCCACTACTCTACTAACATGCCCATTTGAATCTCCTCCAATGAAAATTCTTTCTTCAAGATGTATCATTTATATTGATTCTTTTAGGACATCCTAGAATTTTTCTTTTGAACATATATCTAAACCTACTTCAGGAGTATAAGCATTTATAACAATAAAATCATACTATCAACAATAATCTTTATTACTATAATTTTATTTCTAATTCTATTAATTTTTACAACATTATGTTTCAAATTGTTCTCTTTAATTACACTTACACCATTTCTAGTGCAAATCCTACCTGAGTACCAAAATTTAAAACCTAAGCTATCACTCTCCTTAGCCTTTTCTCCAACCCATTTAGCATATTTATCTTCCTATGAACTATAATATCAACTAATTTTATTAATTTACCTGTGAAAGTACCTATATTCCAAGATCATATCCTAATATTAATTTTATGGACTAACAATTTTGCCCTCATCCGTCCGTAATGTGAGAACTCTTACTTATTTGACACTACACTCAAGTGTCGGTGTAGCAGATCTTGCACACTTTTCACTATATTCAGGTCATACAGCAGGCCATTTTCAGGGGACGTCCTAGCATTTACACAATGATTTAAAGGATTCATGTCATGATTTTTAGATAAATTTTACGCTGGTTTTCAACTACCTAATGTAACCCTCCACTTTTCGTATTCGGGCTAATCATTGCTTGTTGAAACAGCCAAGTGGACGTAAGGACCATAATATAGAGTCAGTATTATGGTCATCCTAGACAAATCCACTAGGGACATTTGCATTGATTACACAATATTGCTTGTCAAGTAGGAGAAAAGCTTAAGTTTGTACCTTGGGCTAATTCCACTAAGGAAATCCCTGAGAAAAATTGATAGTCTAAGGCGAAACAAGGTTGATTACCATGATCCCTTTATTTTTTAATACAAATCAAATGTTTAACTTTTGAGTCCTCTGGGAAACCTCCCTCATCGGACGAGTTTACTCTTGATGAGCAGAGTCTTTGTTGGGATTTAAGTGTGCCCTTGGTATGCCTTTTTGAATTTTTTATTCAGATGGCATACCCTTACAGAACAGGTGCAGAAAAGGTTTACTTCCTAGGCTCACTGCTTCACATACTAGCATTGAAGTATTGCTTTGTTATTTGTTAAAAAGAATAACAAATCTTTTAACACAAAACATATTCTAGCTCTTTTTCTTCCCTTTCCAAAGCTTTCAATCATAACAAATTAAGCTATTGGAAAAGGCAATAATCTAGCCATTTGTGGTGATTTTTCACATTGATGTAGCGCCTGGGTATGTGGCCGTTGTCAGTAAACACTGTGGAACCACAAACATTTAAAAGAATGAAAACTAGCAAATCTGCAAAAAATAATGTCGCACAAAATTACAGAAGTTACAACTGAAACACAAAAATATTAAAAACACAAAAGGTAAATGAGTTGAGAGAGAGTCATTTTCTAAAACATACCAGGGAACAAGCAATGAAAAGATGCATGACAAATGAAAACATCTCCTTAGGAGATCATAATCTAAGTACTTTTGTTATATTTGTTTTGTATAATCTTTCAACCAAATATAAATAAAGTTTCAAGTAACTTCTATTTTGAATACACAATGAGACATTAAATTGTGCTTAGGCTCAAGCTGGTCGACCTGATCTACAATCCTGAAAAGGGGGGTCCCCATCACACCCCTATAGTGTAGACAGTGAAAAATTACCTTCCCAATATAACTAAGAGAGGACTCACTTTTAGAGTTCATATGATA